TTGAGTTATTGCAAAAATTACTGAGGGTGGGTAAAATTTACCCCCCAGCCCCGCGCAGGTTAAGGTAAGAGTACATCGTCGTGACTGTGTCTGACACTGGACCGTTGCGACAGCCGGGGGTCTCTCCGCCGTGGTGCAGGAGCTCAGCGTGGGCAAGTTTGACGACCCGAACAACTGCACCAGCTTTCTGAAGGTCAGTGGCACCGGGACGGGCCCGGTGAGTGGGTCGGTCAGGGGCGAGTGGTGGTCGGTCGGACCGGCGACAGGCGTCAATCGGTCGCCAGCTATCGGTCAGCAGTGGTAAAGGGCGCCGCAGTTCGGACGGCCAACAGAAGCCAGCGGGCCACCAGGAACGGTTTCACGGAGTCCTCTCTCCATTAACGTCCTCGATCCCGTGGCACCAGGCCACGAACGACACCGACACCTGACCTTTAGCCATATCGTAATTATAAAACTGGAGCCAATTCGGCCGACGGTGCGGTTTTTATTTATAGAAGCCCGATAGCTGTTCGATGTTCCATGTATAATTGCTCCACATAGCCTACGAGTCCCGTTCTGCAGAGATTCATTCGGTGCTATATATAACCGTACTTACATAACCGCAAAATACAGACGAGATTGGCTTATTTGCCGTCGCCTGTTACTACCATTGGGATTCTTTCGCGGAAAAAAAAAAATAATAGTAATGCGAGGTCTCCGATCGGCAGATATTGGACGGTGCGTGCGTACGCGGAATGCCACTGAGCCCCTATATCAGTGATATTTGTGTACCATGAGCGGATACATCCTGGCATTGGTGACGCCGGTCTGTCAGATGATCTGCGTACATGTACGCATAGGCACATCTGCATAATCGCACATGTCATACCTACATACCTACGTTACATTACAGCCACACGTCATTCGTTGGTAATCTGCACCTTCGTGGTTATTCCCTTCAGGTCACAGAGATTAGCTGCTGTGCCGGCAGTGGCCGGGTTGGAGTAAAACCGTGTCGTGACACTGGGAACTCGGGGATTAGTGTCACAATGAAATTAAACTCTGAGCGGAGCGAGGTTCTGCGAATGTCAAGGGCAGAAAGGAGCATTAGCATTACTTCCATGCTGTGTCAGCGGGTAAATTATTTCACCAAACAACTAGCGATTACTCTAGCCAGGTCATCGGAGCCGTTGGTTTTAACTCTGGTCCATAAATCAGCATATGAGAATTAGCATTAATGTATACGGAATCACAATGCAAGTACAAGGTTGTGATATTGCTCGCAAACGAACTGCTCACTAAGGGCCTTGGATCTCCATTGAAACGGGTTCTGTTATGTTCATTGTTCACTGTCCAGTATTCATTCCACCCTGGGGAATGAACTTGTGTGTATCTTTTTTTTTTCTTTTCTTGTGTAGGTTTTCTTGTGTAGGTATATTGGCGTGTATGCTTGTGATTCAGATTTGATCCTCTGTCTGTTGGTACGTGTGCCGGAGTTACGGAGTCAGCTTTGTGATTCTGAATCATCGAGAAGTCTAAGGCTGGGGGGATCAGCCTTAGTCAAGTTCCCACATCGAGGTCACCATTCCGTTCCATACGATTTCACGCCCCCCCCCCCCCCGTTTCCTCCGAACCCCGAGCTGAGCCCTCCTATATGGCACGCTCCGGCCCGTCCCGCAGCTCGGGCAATCGAGCTGTCGCCGAGCTGCGCGCCGCTCGTTCAGACGAGCTTCCGAGCGTTCCGGGAACGGTGCGACTGTAATCGTGTCGCCATCGTGTCGACAGCCGGCGGCCGGAACGACTCCGCCGCGGCGCCCGCAGCCGGTGTCACGTCCGACCGCGCGCGGGTCGGGGTGTAGAGGTCAAATTTCAGCAGTGAATGTCGGCTGACAGCCGTACGGAGTCGTTCATTAGACGCGGTAGCCGGCTGGCGCGAAGCGGTGACGGCTGGAGTCATTATGCTAACGCCTTTCGTTATTGAATGTATGCGGTCGGTAGGCAGGTCATGGTCGCTTGTTTCGAGGCAGGCTGATGGAATTAGAGCGCTGCAGAGACACCCAAATGAGTCGTTCCGACGATATTAGCGTGGAGTTTGAATAGGCTGTTTCAAAACATTGCATGTTTGAGAGGCACTCCACCTGATCCGTTTGTTATTAGAAGAGCTTATACCAGTTACAGCTGTATATCTGGCGATCTCGGACTGGTAAATAAACGGCCACGGCGGATCTAACGAAGCCTGCTGTGCCGTAGCTCACAGTTGTATTGCGGCACAGCATACCTCACACGAGACATGCGTATCACAAACCCAAGTCTAGAGCGGCGGATGAAAATCGCTGACGTTTAGTGGCCGTTTTCACCCAATATATTACCAACCAGTAAAACGCCTTTTGGGCGAAGAACGAGCGAGCGAGATAGTGAGCCCTGCACGTGCGGAAGGGCGAGAGGGTGCTTCCAACGGGCTTGCGCAAAGCACCCTTCTAACCGGTCGTTAGCGGTGTGCCAAATTTGAACGCAATCGGCCCAGTCATTCCTGAGATCTGGAAGCGGCATTCTGCACGTGCGCACGTGCAAACGGGGTCCAAAATGACTTTTGCACGGCACCCTACCAACTGGTCCCCAACCGTGTACCAAATTTGAGCGCAATCGGCCCAGCCGTTCTCGAGATCTGGAAACGCCCCCTGCACGTGCGCACGTGCAGTAGCACCCTAACCGCAACACATGGGAATGCATTGCCTGGTGGGTGCCTACCTGTATGCCAAGTTTCAGCGAAATCGCCCCAGTAATTACCGAGTTATTAAAATGGGAACAAATTTGACACCTCTCATTGTTGTATTTTGCACGTGCACTGGGGGTGACCCACATGCATCGGGAGTATCCTATTTTTGGTAGAAGGGATGCTGCTACCCTACAAAAATTACCGCAAGTCAATCGCCCAAGCGGCTGCTGAGATATGAGCCTCTCAAAATCACTACTTTTGCAAAACAGCTTGAACACCCTTGACTTTTCACGTGGCACGTGCCACGACGGTCACTGAGGTGTATCAAAAGTAGTCAATTACGGGGTAGAAGGGATGGGGCTACCCAGCAAAAAAGACCGCAGGCCAATCGGTCCAGCGGTTGCTGAGATATAAGCCTCTCAAAAGCGTTACAGGCCGGGCCGGGCCGGGCCGGGCCGGGCCGGGCCGGGCCGCTCATACTGAGATTTTTCCGTTATATTGAAAAGACTCGCTTCGCTCGCTGAGCTCGCTCGCTCGTAATAAGTCAGCTTCACCCTCAGCACCGTGCATATGCGGGCAGCGCCCTCGCTGGCATCAATTACAACTAATAAAGATTAATCGCGACACAGGCTGTAAACTTGGCGGGATTGTTGTTAACTGCCGCAGATTGTGAGCCCTGATTTGAACGAGATGAACGTGCTAGGACACTTGAGTTATGGACTCAGTATAGTTACAGAGACGAAGAACTTAGCGTTCCAATGGCCGGTAATAGGTCCGAGGTCGATTGCTGCGCAGTGCCTTTTTCGTTCCACGTTATGTTTTATTACGGGGCGCCAGTGGGATAATATATCAAGCAGCTTTGAGTTCAGTGAGAACAGCTATTTTTCATGAGAAATATGAAAAACCTTCTATGATCCAGCTATATTTCCCTAGATTGAAATACTGTCACATTCTGCTGATATTTCACCAGAGTAATCGCGAACTACAGTGACGCCCATAGACAGATTGTGGCTCGTTTTCTCTCTTCATCAGTTACGTCCATTGGAATAAAAGATCGGCGGAGTGCAACGCCAAGAGAAGCGTATTATTATACATCGTGTGCAATTTTTTGCTTTTGTCGTCTTTTGTGTCTTTCTGTGAGAGTCCAGCTACACGCTACGAGCTGTTGGTGTTTACTGTTCAGTGTTTACTGCTGTAGGTCACTTCTTCGGTCAAAACAAAACAACTCAGTCGACCGGGGGACTTTCTTTGTCTGGAGACTTCCTGACCGTCCGCCGTGACCTGGCAACTCGCGAGTCGCGGTAGGAAATTGTGTTGGGCAATGTCAGGCGACTGAAACCGCATTTATCTAGTCTAACATCGGAAAAATGTGTCAGACTATGGGGCACTGTATTTCATCTCGCCATATGGAGCGGATCGATGACATGATTGGGAGGTTTGACCCACTTGCTAGCGTGTTTGACGAACCGCGTTGGTAAGCCGACCCGACCCGATGGCCCTCCCTGCTGCGACAAAGACCAGCGAGCCGCCTACAATCCCGGTCAGGGGTCGGACCACCGTCCTCACCGCCCGCGGCGCTGTTTTTCCGCGACCGCCGCCACTCGGGCGCTGCCAAGGACGCTGCGCCGCCCGCCGGTGACGTCACCGACTGGGGCAAACAGCGGCGCGCGCGGCCCGATCGAACCCCGGCGCTGACCGGCGCTCAGCTGACGGACCGACGTGTGACGTCACTGGCGCGTGTGTCACTCCGGTGTCACGAGAGACACTCCGGAGGTCGGGGTCTGTCATATCGGATCGGATTGCGGAGAGTCCGGCAGAGCAGACCAGTTCCGGCAGTTGGCGAACTGATGCGCACCTTTTGGATTAATTAAAATCGAAAGAAGACTGTCCAATCAGGATCGTTAATTGTTCTGAGCTCTCCGCAATAAGATTCTTTTATCCTCACTGAGGATAAAAGAATCTTATTGCGGAGAGTATGGATGCAGGGACTACACGATTACTAAGATACACAAGACTTCGGAGAAAGAACCAAAGGAAAGCATTGACTTTATTGAAAAAATACTTTCCTATCCCTCACATTTCCTCCTAAAACATGCATTGTACAATGGGAGAACGTTACACATAGGTATGCGTTTGTTTGTCATTATACTCCGTCATTAGCGTGCGTGTTGGGATGCGGAAATCCACGCTCTGCGGAACAGTCTAGCTACAGGCGTTTACTACTGCTGCCATCTAGGAACAGATGAAGGAACATGCATCAGGCCGCAGTCATGATGGGCTGATGGCAAAGAAGTGAGATGAGAGGTGGCTTCATGTGTTTCCAGTGAAACATCGATTGACATTTGAAATGTTTATATTCAATAAACTTTCGCATTATTAAATATACCATTTGAACTCATGTTCAGGTGATACCTAATTCGATCAATTTTAATGTTAGGTATCAAGATAATACAAGTTGGGTCTACTTTTCATTTGTCATTCTTTCCGGTATTGAAGGCGATGTACTGTAGCCATGACAGCTGTGACTGCTGCTCTCCTCTACTCATTGCGATATTGATTTTCAAATGTGTTCGCGGCTGATAGGTATCCATTTAATTCACGCCTCTCGGCTCTCTTATAGACACAGATTCAACATTCCAATGACACAATCTCTAAATGACGAGTTCACCCCTCGGTGCTCCTTAGACGCGTCCCTTGATGCTGACCATAGAGCGCCACTGGCCGTCACAGACGTCGTTGAAGGTCATGTTGATCACGTAGCTGCCGCCGAGGTCGCCTGGCCCTCGGCACTTGGGCTGGCGGTCCCACAGCTTGTCGCGGTTCACCTTCAGCCAGTGGGTCAGGTAGAGGATGAAGCAGTCGCAGTGCCACGGATTCTTTCCGAGCTGAACCTGCCGCAGGCGAGGAAGGTTGTCCAGCAGGCCGGTCGCCAGGCTGTGGAACTCATTGCTGTTCAGCTGTAGTCTCTCCAGACTTCCCAGGTCCTTGAACACATTCGCAGGCAGCGTTTTGATGTCATTGTCGTTGAGGAGCAGCCACTTCAGCTGGTGCAGTCCGCGAAACGCACCGTTATCCACCCTTGTCATCGAGTTTCCGAAGAGGAACAGATGCTCGAGGCTGGTGAGCGCCGTGAACGTGCCGTTCTCCAGGTGCTTGATCTTGTTGTAGCCGAGGAACAGGTGTCTGAGGAAGAGCAGGCGCTCGAAGTGGCGGTCGCTGACCCTGCTGAGCCGGTTGGCAGAGAGGTCCAGGTAGGTCACGGAGGTGGTGTTCTGCAGCAGAGGCTCCGACAGGTTCTCCAGCGCGTTCTGATGCAGGTCCAGCGTCACCAGGCGCACGTTTTCGCCGAACGTCATATCGGCCAGCGCCGCGATGCGGTTCTCGCTGAGGTTGAGGATCTGCAGCACCTTGAGGCTGCTGAAGAGAGTCTCGGGTAAAGAGGACAGCCGGTTGCCGGATAGATCCAAGTGCTCCAGACTGCGCAGGTAGCGGAAAGTGTCCGGTCGGAGGGAGACGATGGCGTTGTTACGCAGCGTCAGGTAATTCAGAACGCTCAGAGCCGAGAACTCCTGCTCGTAAATTTCGGTGAGCCGGTTATCGGACAAGTCCAGCACAGTAAGTAAGCGATTGTTCACCAGCAGATCCTTTTCCAGCTCTGTGATACGATTCCCTCGCAGGTTCAAAACACTCAGGTTCTCAAGATCATAGAATAGCTTCGCAGGCAGCACCTCCAGCAGGTTCTCACTCACGTACAGCTCTTTGAGTCGAAACAAACCACGGAACGCGTTCTCGTGAATCGCATCGATGTGAGTGTGCGAGAGATGAAGCACCTCGACGCTGTCGGGGATCACCTGACGTCGAGGGACGCTGTTCAGACCTCTCAGCTGCTGGCAGCTCACCGTGCGACTGTGCCGGCCGCAGTGGCACACGCCCTTGCGGCACTTCTGCCAGGCGACGCTGCCCCCCTCGATCGGCCAGGCAGACTGCTCCAGGTTGCGGACGTGCTTCTTCAGCTGACCGAGCTCCAGTTCGAGACGGAGCAGCGCCTCCGTGAGACATTCGGTCGATTCGCACGATGCACTGGCGGGCGCAGCGCGGCCCAGGCCGGTGAGAAGAGCCGAGGTCACGCAGCAAGTCAGCAGATGCGATAACAGTCCACGAGACATTGCCTCGGTTGAATTCTGAAGATCGTTGGAACGAGAAGCCTCTAGCGGGAGGAGATTACGAGATATTTGAAGCACACTAGATCGACACACTCGCCGTTCTTGAAAAGAACGAAAAGAAGGCTAGACTGTCAGCCTGAGCTGCAAATTGACACTCAGCCACGGGCGAAGCGTCGAGTAGGATCACCGCGTCCAAACTAAGTCCCGGTCGAGTCCGGCCGGTCGGGTCAGCTAACAGGATTGGGAAGCCCGCGGCGCCACGAAGAAGGCTAAAATCGTACCGTGCAGAGACTGACCAGGAAAACATACATGTGCCCCCACCGGTGCTGCATACTGCAAACATATCGTGGACCTCTTTCTTTTGATCACACCTTTGATGCAATCATGACCGAAAACATGGGCGGTAACGCGGAAGACTTTTAGTCCCCACTCTGTCTTATTTATAATGTGAGGTTTGATGGCAATTTAACACGGCGTTTGTTTATTAAGTACTTACATTACACTGCCCATAAAATCACTTCAAAGGCATCTTCCATTATGTTTGTAATACCTCCATGCCATTGAGCAATTAACCTTTGTCATAGACATCGCCATGTTCAACAAGCTACAAAATTGATGGATTTTTGGCCAGAAGAGTTGCTTCAAAAGCACAAATACCATTATTTATGACAAAGTTCTAGTTAGCAGCCAGACGTGTCCGTCCTACCCACCTCCAGTCTCACACATCACCCCATGCTGCCCAGGCGTCCGGGTTTTGTGTGACACACGTGACCAACGTCTCCCGTCCGTCCGTCCGACCGTCTGTTGGTCCGCCGTAGCAACCGGCCGTCTTCCGCGCGCGGCGAGCGGGCGCTCGTCGTCCGGCGATCGATGACGGCCTGCGTCATACCTCCATTTGGAACTGATGCCGCCTCCGGGACTCGGCTGCCGACCATTAGCGTTCTGATTGAGCCGGCGTGCATATTAGTTACTGAGCTGAGCCGACGCTGGATGCCTCCGACTTGGGAGTTCCCGGCTGGGCGAGATGGAGCCCCTGGCCGTCCTTGGCAGTACAAAGAATGATGCTGGGGACTGACCTACTTCCGCGGAACTGGGCTTCGTTCTACATTTAACCCACTGTACTCTGAAATATGGTGCGGTAAAAACGTTAAGTCAGTGAAACTACCGGGTGGCATTGCTCACTCGTGTTGAACGGCGAAAAGTGCAACTTAAGCTGTTCATATTTCTTTAACCCAGCCAATTGCGCTTTATGTGTGATAATACGTTTGCCTCATAGATAATAAGAGCAGCATCTCACTCTCATTACTTCTTCAATATTCGCCCGGCTCACCTGCCACCATATACAGTGACGAATGACCTGACCTAGCGCCCCTTGTCCAGTGTCCACCCTGGTGACCTGACCTTTATCTGACCCTCAGGTGACCACGTTCGGCCGCTCACATCGGTATACGGAGCGTCTCTGTGGGGAATGGCGCTCCTCAGTTCATCACCTGGAGGTCAGGAAGAGCCTGTTCGGAGCCTGCGACCCGACCATGGATGACAAATACGGTAAGGACGACTAAGGCAATGTGGATACTGGATAAACCAACAAACCGCCCTTTAGGCTTATATTTTCGCATCCGTGCAATGATGGCACTAATTTCAAAAGTTGTATGTTTTCTAGACGTGTAATAAGCAGTAGGCTTTGGAGGGAGCATAGTTTCCGCACTTTTGCTGAAGTTGCCTTGCAAGTTGCGGTTGTTTTGCCTTTCCACAGGACAAGCTTGCTCTGCAGATGAACAAAAATAGGCAGCGAATTATCGGCGCCGCTCCAGCCTTCAATGTTTTTCTATTCGGCCGTGGTCACTCATTAGCATAACTCTGTATGTTTATCATGGCCTTTCTGAGCCCAGACTCGGCATCTACTAAATCATCGCCAGCGACCACACCATAATTCTTGGATTCTGGGGACTCTGAACCAGAATATGGCCGCGGGTCGATCCCAAACAGCCAGTGAAGCTGACATTCAATCACAGCGACACGCGTCATGTGCATCTCCTCTCCATTCGTTATTCCCAGCCCACTCCACCGGCCGCATGCCAGTCAAAAAAAAAATCACCCGTTTATCCAAAGAATCGGGATGGTCGCGAATTCGTCACACTCCGACTGACAAATTCGAGCCGGAACGAACCCCGTCACCTCACCCCAGCGGAGACAGATGACGGTGGCGACTGTGCAGTCTCGATCCGGCCGTCCCAGCCGGGGACTCCTGCCAAATCAGTCGGGCCATGTGTCGGCACCACGATTTATGCCCCCGAGTGACAGCCGGCGGGTCGTGCCCCTGGGACGGACGGCGGGGGCGGGGGGGGGGGCTGTCCGTGTTACGGTAGCAGGGATGTGGTGCTATGTTGGAGCGGGACTTGGTAGCCATTCAGAGAGACATGTGAGCGGTCACGTAGTTGTCACTTGTCGGGTATGTGGCACAGGCGTGACGGCTGCACAATCAAACGGCGACAGTAGCACGGGTCACACACCCACAGCTACACAGCCACAGTCGGACACATGCAACTGCATACCCTGACTCAACAAATAATGCCTACCCTGACTGCAAATTTTAACAGATAGACAACCACCAACTCGGTGAACTTCATGAGAAGGTGCCGACGGTTATACAACACTGGACAGAAAATCACAAAGCCAAAACAAAGAGTGACACTCCAACCGCGTTTTTTCTATCCCCTACAGTCCAACAGAGGCTGTCACATAATCTGCCACGGCCACAAAATCCGTCACTCACATTTTACACTCGAAACGGTCTCGACCTGTCACCGCCCCTGGCACTAGCCGCCGTGGAGTCCCCCCTGACTCCTCCCCCCCCCCCCCGGTGGACGGACTCGATACCCTTGAGCCTGGCGCCGACCGATCTGCCAAAATGCCCGCCGATACAGCCGGGATCAAACGGCGAGAGGCTACGGTTCCGGGACTTCGCTAAAGTCTGCATCATAGAGCTTCGTCAGATGTGGTGGGGATAATGAAGCCGGTTCTGAACGAATATGGTCTGTCGACTTGGCCAGCTATGCGACTGATGTCTTTGTTTTTCTTTGTATGAAAAAGAAGGTATAAGAAGTGATGTGGAGGTTTTTGCTCAGTCGATTGTAATATGAGCATATACGTGATACAGCCTCGCGGTATATTATGCAATATCTACATTCTCCGGACGGTTTATTGGTTAGCTTACGTAGTCGGTGGCTGCAAGCTGTCAGGAAGCCATGTCATTCGCATTTCCTGCTGAAGATAACAAACTCTCATCTACCATAATATAGAAGCTTAGAACTGGCCATAGCCGCACAATCTATCCTGAAACAACTTAGCCATATAAATCTCCTTTGTTCGATCGGATCTGGTAGGAATACAGACAATAAACGGAAATCCTATTCAGCCAAATTAAGGACCGGCGCATGGGTTCCAGTTGAGCTGTAAGGTTAGGATCCACTTCATTTGAAACGTCCTATATATGCTTCAAAATAGAACATGATAAAACTATGCAGCGCCCGATATTTAGAGCCCCTATGCACTGCAACGATAGGTCGGCACACAACACACCCGCATGGCTGCATTATTGCTCTGCCGGTGTTTTCAACAACCAGTGTGCGTCATGCAGCGGGGTTCCGTTCTACAGCAGACAAAAGGTTGCTCTTCATACCACCAGTCGTTGAGGTCGATAGGAAGTGGAGGGACCCGACTCTATACCTACCACCCATCCTCGATCCGGGACGGGTTGTCCTACCGTTCCACCGTCGCATTCCCCGTCACATTCACCGTCACATTCACCGTCACGCGCCGTTACCGTTCGGAATGATGGCGTGGGCCTCACGCGGAAACGGATAAATGAATCTGACACACTGCTTTGACAGGCAGTCCGTTCGGATACATTGAGTAGCGCTCTCCCCCCTCCCTGTCCCATGCCGTTGCCGGCGGCTGTGGATGAAATGACGTCATTTGGCCTGCGAAATCCCAAGGTCAGCTGTGCGCCGCTGTCGTTGGGCGTGCGGGGGTGAATGTGGCGCGTGCCGCGGGTCGCCGTAGGGGGGGGGGCACGGGACCGTGTCTCGCAGTGTCAACACCACACACTCCACGGGACACGCAGACGATTGTGTGGCCATTTGCGTCACTGTAGATCAGTTGGAGTGCGGTGTAGATAAAAAGGAGTCGTGACGTGAGGTAACGTCTAAATGTAACGCGATGTGACGTGATCTGATGTGACGCGACACGGACTGATGTGTCACGTCGTCACACTGCCGAAAGCGAGGGAACGTCACGCCACAACACACATGCGACGTCTATAGATTTTGCATTCTAGGCCAATGTTACACTACATTGGCTTGGTTTATAATGCCACCCTCGGGCCTCGAGTGTCACACAAATTTGATATATGTACGAGGCCGAACTAGTTCGTAGAAGAGAGGTCACTTGGTATCACCATTTTCCCAGCTGGAACCAACTGTTCCTCTGCAATTGATTTCAGCCTTCTGTGTTGCCGTCACAAGGCAAAGTGATGTATAGCGCTCGGGTGTCGCTGGCTCCACAGTCCACATTGTCTGAATGTATGACTACCTATTGAGTTCACGGACAGAGTTATTTGGGAGTTGACGTAAGCGCAATGGGTCAAAGAGAATGACGAAATCGCCAACTACCAACCCAATGTCAGGCTAGGTATGTTCGTGGCTGAACTTCTTGCGCTTGAACTTCTAGTTCAGGTGTAACGAGTCTTTATAATGCATGTCGACGACTTTCGTCGAAGTAGATGTCTCTTCAGCACGAACAATTATCGTAGTTGACAAGGCCGCCCGTTAAGATCCGCACATACCTCGTCGGCCAATGACGTCATCACTGTGAAGTTCCCGTGCGTCAGTGTACAAACATACGTCAGCGCACCGAGGCAACGGCATAAACACGGGTGTACGAGCGCCGTGACAGGCCACAAAGAGGTCACGGGCGGCACTCAGTGGTTATCACCCCTCCAGCTGGCGGAACGGGGCGACACTCCACCGAAAACACCGCACCGCGCACGCATCCAGCGGCGTCACCAAAGCGTGAAACTTACAACGACGATAAAGAAGAGCTTCAGAAAGGCTGTGCCATTTGGCAGGCCATTTAGGAGATTTACCCGGTGCCAAAATGTTTGGAAATTCACTGT